AAACCCCCCCCCCCCCCCCCCCCTTCCGTTGCTCCAATTGTCCGTGTCCCCCCGCAACGCTTCCCCACCACAACTGCATGGTGCAGCAATGTGGAAGACCTTCCGTGACCGAGCCCGAGAGGCAGAGAGAACCTCACGAGAAGTGGCAGCGACGCAGCAGCAACAGGCTCTTAAGATCACCCTCGATGAGATAAACCGGTTTGAGAAGACCCATCATCTCTCCCTCCGCCGCCCCCGTCCACTCAGCCCCGCCCAAGACCAGGGCGAAGGCGACAAGAGAGAGGCGGACTTGGGGGAGCCAACCGAGCCCAAAAGACGGGCCTCGCCTCTGGATTTCTACGATTATGCCTCTCCGTCGATGCGAGCCGAGGGGCGGGTGACGAAGATGAACCCCACCCCTGGCACACCGGAGAGAAGAAAGGACTTCGGCAAAGGGACGAAAGAGCTCGTCGATGGCTTCGGGAGGACGGTCATCGAGCCGATATTCATGCAGCCCGTAAGTACCAAGTCCACGTGGCTGCATGCCATTCAGCTGATAACAGTTGTGTGTGTCATGTGTTTGTCTGTCGTAGGAGAAAGAATGGTCTCTGAAAATGAAGACCATGACCACCAGCGACAAGCCCACGAAGGTCAGTCATACAATCACTGCTTCCGTTCCATCCTCCCTTGACCTCCTGTTGGTCATGCAGAGATCTGTCTACTCCCGCACGGCCACCTTCGATGACACACTAGGCACGACGGGAGACATGCTTCAACGGTTCCTCAAGACGTCACGCTCCCGCACCAGGCTGGGCGAGAGCGACGAGGGGCTCGGCGCACACGCGTTGCCACCCCGGATGTTCCATCTGTCAATGAAGATGAAGGGAGAGAAGGTGGACTGCTCTATACCGATGACGCGATCACACCAGCTGGGGACACTCGCCCGGGCCGCCAAAGTAGGCGAACCAACAAACACGGAAGGAGTGAATATATATGGTTTGAACTTATATGTGTCCTGCCCTCTTGCATGTCTCATGCAGCCATGGATCGAGAACAACCTTGTGGTGCAAGAGCGGGCGCGGCAGGAGATGAAGGCAATGGTCAGTGGGCACACATTGACACCAGTGAAAGGCCGGGTATCTGGTGTATGCGCGGTGCGCAAAATATCTGCCTGTCTGTCTGTCTCTCAGGGGGAGGAGCGTCGCGATTGGGAGACACGATTGGTACTCAACGCATCGGCAGGCCTCTCTCAATATCACCCTCTACGTGTGTGTGTCTTACTTCGCAGAGAAACGACCTTCTCGTCGCGATGGCCAGTAAGATACGATACAGCTCCCACATGTCTCTGTGTGACCTCCTCTCTTGTTTCCTGCGCAGAGCGCCGTGCCAGGGCGGAGGAGGCGGCTGTCGGCAGAAAAGAGCCTTTCGCACTGCGCAATGTACAGCCACTTTGACATCTTTGTCAATCTGTTTCCCTGCTCATACTTCTTTGCATTCTTTCTCTCTCGCCCTGCCAGCGTGCCCGGGCCATCAGGCGCGAGCGGAATGCCAAGCACCAGGCGTCCCAGCAGCAGGAGAAACATCAGAACGTCATCGACACCTACGGCGAGCGGCCTCTCTTCCTCCTGGACCCTACTCACATCAGCCAAATGCCACAGGCCCAGCAGGACGTCATCAAGGCCGTGCAGAACCTTCAGGAGACCACCATGCTGCAGCAGGGGTACGAGTCGGCCACGAGTGCCATCACGTCTGCCAGAGGGGGAGCGAAGGAAGAGTTCTTCGGGCCGGGTGACGGGGGCCGTCACGGTGTGCCGACGGCCATGGATGTGACGACGAGGGTGGCGAGAACGAGGGATGGCTGGCGAACTGGACTCATGAGGACGGGGGAATTCGACACGGGGCGGGCGTACTATCCCAGCTCCGAGAGACGAACAGCCGCCGCGTTTGGCGAAGCGTGCAAGTATGCAAGAGGAGGCACATGATTTCTGGGATGCCCCGTCGCGTTTTTGCACCTGTGTTGGTGCAGGGCTCGGAAGGATCATGCTGCTCTAATTCGCCATCAGAGAGACATTGAAATGTTCAGCGACATTGCCATGGCGAAGACAGAGAGGGAAGAGGTAGACACACAGAAATGAGTGGACCTACAGGTCGGTAGCGTCTCTGTGCGTTGTTCAGGCGTTGGCCAGCATGACCGATTTCGAAGACACGCTGCAACACATTAAGCGAATGAAGGTGAGACACCATGTGCGAAGAAGGAACACCGCCTTCACAAGGATTTCCTCCATTCAATTTTCGCCAGGGTCGGCTGCGGGCACAGGCGACCAAGACGCAGATCAGAATAGATGGGAGATGAGATGGAGTAGTGCATGTCATTGAGGGGTTTCACGTCTGCCGCTGGACTTGTTGGCGGTGGTGGTGGGGCTGGATTGTTCTTCGCCCGTCACTGCTGAGAAAGGAGAGCAAAAAGCTATCAATGACTTTCTCAGACAGCTGTTTTGGCAGCCTGTCATGAAGCTATGAACATGAACTGGAAGGTTGCATGCGCGGGGGCCCACCTGTGGGCGGGATTCGCCGTCTCGGCCGTCTCAGACTTCTCCATTGTTCCGAATCCCGACGAATCCCATTCCAAGATGCCGCGCTGTCGCTCTTCATCACGTTCCTCGGTACGCTACGGAACGCCGAAACTCCATGATCACGCCATCGACAAATCTGGCCTGCTCACCTGCCGTGAACTGCGCAGGCCTGTCCGCCGCGGAGAGGTTCCGGGCCCCTCTCATCATCGATGCCGCCCACGAAGGCGCCAGTCAGACAGACAGACAGACAGACCGACGCGTCTTCTGATGGCGACTGCGGGCTCATTTCTGTGGTTGTCTCAGAGAGCCTGATGCAGCAGAACCTGACCATGACCATGGTGGCGTTGTCTGCAGCGATGATGCCACACGTACATGAGCCCCGCTTCCACACTCCTGGATGATCCTCCTCTTGTGTTTGTGCAGCCTGCAGCTACTCGGAGACAGGAGGAGACGTCTGCCGCATTCGGGGCACCCAGGACATCTGCGTGACTGCAGCCGCAGTTATCGGAAATGTGTGGCCCAAGGACGTCAGAGAAGGCCTAACAGAGATTGGCAAGAGGTTCAACATCGACCTTTCGAACTCGCCGTTTTCCCCTGAGCCCCGATTCACGTGCAACTCCATGGGCGTTGCCCAAGCCGGAGACCTCATCACCAAGCCCGCCTTGCTGGGCCTGGAGAGGCAGCGGAAGCTTCGCCTGCAGTACCCCCAGCTGTAAGAGCATAGATGATCTCACCTTGCCTCCTTACCTGCAGCGGCGCTGTATGCAGGCTCGGCGCTGAGGAGGTGAACCCGGTCCGGGCAATCGAGGTGAGGCTGTAACGCGGGCAGAGGCAGACAGACATGCAGCCGTCGCTGCCGTGTGTACACATGTAGGAGCTGCCCGGTGAGGTGGAGACACTTTTGAAGCAGTCCTCGATGTTCAAGCACTGCAGCTGCTGCGAACCCATCGCCTGAACCGGGCCAAACAGCTGAACGCGCGGCTTGAGAGAGACCGACAGTCAGAGAGAGAGAGAGAGAGACATTCGTGCATGAAAGCGGGGGACAAGGGATGTCCCACAGCACCGGAGTGCGTGGCAGCCATGTTCGTTCCGGCCGGACTCATGTGTCTGTCTGAGCACCTGAAGCAGTGACGGGCAAACGTCCGCTTACCACCACCAACCAGCTGCAATGTCCTGCCCACCCATGACTGCCCCACACCACTTAGGGGAGCAATCGGTGGTTTGCAATGCAATGCAATCGGTGGTTTCCTTGAGTAACCCAGCTGGCTTCGCGCATGTACCCGGGCGGCCTCAGATCGAGCGAACGAACAACTCGAACGATCTACGCAGAGCTCGCATCTGAGAATTCATCGATGGTGCGAAATCGATGGGTTATCTTCATCGTGTGCTTGTTGCATCATGTCCACAGAGGCCTGCAGAGAGGCCTGCAGCAGGATGGAAGCCGGCTGACAGCATTCGACACCCAGGAGAAGGCACTGCAGCACCTCAAGGGCACCACAGAACAGGGGCGACTGACGCAAGATCTGCTGGAAAGGTGAGGCTCACGCACAGCAAGGGAATGGATGGCATTCATCGCATCACTCGGCATCCCTTCCTTTGGTGGTTCGGTCCAGAGATCTTCGTTTCTGCGTGCGCAACTGCTGGTGGGACGTATGCCGCTATCTCATTTCGTTGAGCCATTCGTCGTCTGTCGAGGATGGCAACACGAGTAGGCTCACACGGAAGGAACAGACACGAACACATACGAACACATGCAGACCACACCCTCTCTCTGTCTTGTCTGTGCGTTCGTTGTGATGCAGGGTTGGATGCGGCAGGTGTGGTGCGTCAGGAGGTGGGCCGCGTACGCCAAGCTGCTGACAGCCTCATACGGATACTCGACAGGCAACACGCTGACATTCAAAGGTCGGGTGCCACGATGTACCTACCTACCGTACCTGTCGATGAATGAACCGACTGTCGATGCGTGTCGGTGGCTGTGTGTGTGCAGGATATCCTGTGCCTTTCAGTGGGCTCAGTCGCCCTCACAGGTCTTCCTGAGCATCAAATACTCATACAAATGGAACAGCCCAGGTCGGAAGACCCATACAAATAGAACCCACAGATCTGTGAGTGACCTCCTGTACTGACTGTCTGTGTGCAGGTGCATTATCGCTTGAGAGTGAGGAGGTGTCCATCAGCCCCCGGCACTTCCACTTCTCGGGCGAGGGCCAGCAGAGCCACAGCCACAAAAGGTACTTCCTTGACCTGGACCTATACGACACTGTCAGCCAACAGGTCCGCCAAAGACACCAACCATGACAGGCAACCAATCAGCAGCCGTCACCCATCCCATCCGATGTGATGTGTGTGCAGAATTCGTCCTGGTCTTTCGGCAGCGTCGGCCGACTGATGTAGGCAGCAAGAGAGATATGCACGGACAGAGGGAGGAGCCGAATGCTATGCCTTTGTCTTCCAGGGTGACATTGACAAAGGAGAAGGACGCCATCTGGCCCAGGCTGACGCAGTCGACCGTAGGCGCGCACACAGAAAAAACAAGCGCAGAGAATGGAGCAGAATGCAAGGCGGTCCTGCGCCTGTCCGTCAGGACAAAATTGCCAACATGCACGTGTGGTGGGAAATGAAAGAGCGGTGAGCACGCGCACACACCTACGCTCACAGTCCACCCACACACAGACGGCATCTCCATCCCACCCTCTGTGCAGCTATGAGTCGGAGGTGGCCGAGTATGAGAAGAAGCATGGCGTATTGGATGACCAGCAGGAGGAGGCAGCCAACCGCCGGCCGACGAAGGGCAAGAGGCGGCAGCCCAAGCACATGGCCGAGGTCGACTGGCTGGTCAGATGGGGCGTGTGGCTGCAACGAGTCGACAACGCGACAAGGGCTTTCATGGCTGGCAAGGTAAAATGGGGTGCATTGCTCTGCAATGAGGATCGAGATGAGAAATCTGTATCTATCTGCTCGCGTCACGTTCGTGTGTTTAGAGGGGCGAAGCTTTATCGTATTTGCGAGGGGACCACGACGACCCGAAAGGCATCATCCGGCGGTATCTGCCTACACCGACTGACGTGTTCTTCTGGGCCAACCTCGCTTACTTCCTGCTGGCCTTTGTCACGCTGGCTGCCGTGCTGGTGCCTGTGGTGTGCTACTGCTACAAGCCGCTGAGGAGCACCCTCTTCGACTCTGATGCCATGGATGCTGGGCGGACACACCAAAGGCAAAGGGAGAAGAAGGAGAGCTAGCCGTCGTTTCTGGTGGTGGGACTCGGTGTGTGCGCGCGTGTGTGGGTGTACATAAGTGGTACCATATGGTATTTGTCTGGGTAGGTAGGTAGAGCGCAGCATACGTGTGTGTGCGTGTGTGTGTGTGCATTTGTGCCTGCGATAGTGAATCAAGACTTTTATCCATCCATCCATCAAGTCATCCCTCCGTGAATCATCACTGAATCAGTGCAACTGCAAGGTTCCATTCCCCGCACTAGACACACACACACACACATGAATACTCAAACCAATCATTCATTCATTCAGCAGATACGCTTAGCCACCAAAACTCGCTCACCGATCCCCCAGCAACCCTTCCCCTACCCATATGAAGGCATCACGTGCCTCCGTCCGGCTTTGTGGCCTTCGCTGGTGGGGGCGCCGGCGACGGATGAGTCTGCGGCTGAATCTGCCCACCATTCCCAGTCGCTGCTGCAGCAGCAGCAGCTGGAGCTGGAGCCGCAGCTCCGCCCGGCTGCTCCCCAAAGCCAACTGGCTGCTGAGCAGAGCCGTCGGGCTGCTGCGTCGTGGTGGTGGCCGACCCATTGTGCTCTCCTGCTGCTGCTTCTGCTGCTCCTGCTGGTGGTGGTGGGCGACGCAAGGGCGCCTTGGACGCCGCCTTCGTGCGCGGGCCCGTGGATGCCTTCGGGCCTGTGGATGCCTTCCTCTTTTTCGACGCCCCACTCCCCGGGGGCGACCCCTGTTTGGCTTTGCCGCTGGCTTTGCTGCTGGCCTTGCTGTTTATCTTGGGGCTGGCCTTGGGCGGTCGTTGTGCAGGAGGGCGAGCCTTAGCGGGCGGGGGCGGGGGAGGCTGTTGAGGAGGGACAGGCACAGGGGCCCACTGGCTGTGCGGTGCGGCGGGTGGGTACATCGGCGGTGGGTATGCCGACGGATCAGCCGGGACAGGCGGACCAGTTGGGCC